TAGAATATGGTGGCTAGATTTAATAAAGAACTGTTTTATTCCATGTAGGGAAAGAAAACCATAAGCATTGCTTATATTTTCTGCTAGTCATGAAGCTACAACATAACATGGAACCTTTACAGTATCTGGTCACAAATCAAATAATAGTTACCAGAATCACACTCAGTTAATTTACGCTAAAGCAGTCACATCTTTGGGTGGCCTGCTAATCCATGCAGCTTTGTGGTATTGAAATATACCATATTTCTTATTTCCTAGTCTTGAATTAACTTTGCAACAGTTTTTGAAAGCCTCAGTCACATTTCTGAGTAGAAGGGCTATTCAGTACAGCAAATTACACACTTAGTAATACTTTACATGACTTCTGACCAGTCAGAACTTCTTATTCTGTCTTTAAAAATGACAGTGACACCAAAATTTGTCCCAGATGAAAAATAATTGTAATGGTTGACAAATGGAATTCTGAAGAAGCCCAGAGCTTGGTCATTTTGTTATTGTGTGATATTAAGCAACAGCACCCCATGAAGGTCCTCCTTGAATTCTGAGCAAAGTAGCCTTTCCGTTAGCACAAATGGATGAAGGAGTGTCCCTCACAAGAGAGAATTAGAAAGCCCTTTTGCCTAAATGCTTCATTTTATTGATCTATAGACATGAATATGTTGAAAAGACAATGTGGCCTAATAAGTAAAGGCAATACTTACGTGCATATAATAAATATTTACTTTTGCTTTAAATTCTAGAAATCATTGTGAAATTTCTGCTTTTTTGGTTTCGCATGCCTAGACTGTTTATGTTCTCTTTGCTGGAACAGACCCATCAGCTTGTTGTTTGGTTTCTTTTGGATAAGTGGTAATGTTCCAATGATCTCTTACTCTACAAGTTAAATTGGGAGTGTTCTTTATCATTCTGTTTACAACACTTTCAGAATGAGGAAATAAAATCAGAACTCTTAAGGTGGATTTGGAAATGTCAAACTATCATTACCACAGTACACAGTACATTATTAGCCAAATAAAATAATAAGGTATATTATGGGCAAATGGAATCTATCTCTTAATGAAGAACATGCATACATGTTATAAGGGATGTGACTATAAAGATACATGATGGCTAAGAATCAGTTTTGTAACCATTCCACTACACATGATTCACAGGACTTCAGAAAGTTCTAGAAGAATACTTGTATAGAGGGAATTCTTAGGAGGCATTTTACAAGCCACAAACAACATAAAGTATCTTGGAGTAACGCTTACCAAACAAGTGAAAGACCTATATAATAAGAACTTTGTGGCTCTAAAGAAAGAAATTAAAGAAGATACCAGAAAATGGAAAGATCTCCCATGTTCTTGGATATATAGGAAAAATATAGTAAAAATGGCAACCTACAGATTCAATGCAATCCCCATTAAAATCCCACCACAATTCTTCACTGACTTTGAAAGGATAATAATCAACTTTATATGGAAAAACAAAAGACCCAGAATAGCCAAAGCAACCCTGTACAATAAAAGAACATCAGGAGGCATCACCATCCCTGACTTTAAGCTCTACTACAGAGCTATACTTCTGAAAACAGCCTGGTATTGGCACAAAAATAAACAGGTAGACCAATGGAATTGAATAGAAAATCCTGATATTAACCCACATACCTATGAACTCCTGATTTTCGACAAAACAGCTAAAAGAATACAGTGGGGGGAGGAGGGGAGCATCTTCAACAAATGGTGCTGGCACAATTGGATGATGGTGGTAGAAGACTGCAGATAGACCCATGTCTGTTTCCATGCATAAAACTCAAGTCCACATGGATCAAAGACCTCAACATCAATCCAGCCACATTGAACCTCTTAGAAGAGAAAGTAGGAGGTACCCCCTGAACAAACTTGTATATGAGACCGCTCCCTGAACATAACTCCTGGAGCACAAACACTGAGATCAACAATTAATAAATGGGACCTCCTCAGACTTAGAAGCTTCTGCAAAGGCAAAGGACACAGGGGATAAGACCAAACGGCAGCCCACAGACTGGGAAAAGATTTTCACCAATCCTATATCCGACAAAGAGTTGATCTCCAAAATATACAAAGAACTCATGAAACTAGTCAACAAAACACCAAATAACCCTATTTTAAAAAATGAGGTACAGAACTGAAGAAAGAATTCTCAACAGGGGAAATCAAAATGTCTGAAAGACTCTTAAGAAAGTGCTCAACATCCTTAGCTAACAGAGAAATGCAAATCAAAACAACTTTGAGATACCATTTTACTCCTGCCAGAATGGCTAAAATTAGAAACACCAATGACAGCTTATGCTGGAGAGGATATGGAGAAAGGGGAACACTCCTTTACTGCTGGTGGGAGTGCAAACTCATAAGCCATTTTGGAGATCAGTATAGGGATTCCTCCAGAAAATGGGAATCAGTTTACCACAGGAACCGGCAATCACCCTCTTAGTCATAAACCCAAATGATCCACATCCATGCAACAAAGACATGTGCTCAACTATGTTTATACCACCATTATTTGTAATAGCAAGAATCTGGAAGCAACCTACATCACCCTCATCTGAAGAATAGATAAAGAAGATGTGGCACATCTATACAATGGAATACGACTCTGCAGAAAAAAAATAATGGAATCTTGAAATTCACAGGCAAGTGGATGGCACTTGAAGAAACCATTCTGAATGAGGTAACCCAGTCACAAAAAGAGGAACATGGTATGTACTCGCTCATATATGGATTTTAGACCTAGAGTAAAGGACCACCAGCCTATAATACACACTACCAGAGGAACTAGGATATACATTGTACTCCAAGAGATTCATATAAAGTCCCTCACAGAAAGGGGAAGGGACAAGTCCCCCAGAACACATGGGAAGTGACGGGGGCAGTAAATGGAGAGAGAAGTAGGAGAAAGAGAAGGGGAGGAGAGGAAAGCACGTGCGACTAGGAAGATTGATTCAGGGTGGGAAGAGAGAGAGAGAGAGAGAGAGAGAACAAACATAAAAAAGGGAGCCATTATTGGTTTGAAGAGAAAACTGAACCTAATGAAAGGTCTAGAGACCTACAAGACTGACTCCAACTAACAATTTGAGCAATCGTGGAAAGGCTACCATAAATGCCCTTCCTGGATAGTGAGATCAACAATTAACTTATCCACTATCATGGAGACATCATCTAGTACCTGTTGGAAAGAGAAGCAAACACCCATAACTAAACACTGAGTAGAACTAGAATCCAGATGCAGAGGGAGAGGACAAGAGCAGGTTGCAGAAACACATAGAGACAGCTTACCTGAACAAGCAAGAGCTAACGGACCCCCAGATTGATAGCTGGGAATCCAGCATGTGACTGACTACTCAGGTCCACCTGAATATGAGCCTCAACGAGAAGGACTGAGTAGTCTAAGAGACCTCAGACAGTGGAACCAGGATGTATTCCTGGTGCACAAAAGGACCTTGTGGACAAATCCCCCATGGAGGGATACTGTCCTAACCTATAGACAGGAGAGAAGTCCTAGTCCCTACTACAAATGACTTGAGAGATTTACATAACCCCACCTAGTGTTGCCCTACACGTGGAATTGTGGTGAGGGATGGGAGGGGAGGGGGTCAGGTTGCATGTGAGAGGGGCAGAGAGGGTAAGAGGGAGGGAGGGAGGGAGAGGGAAGTGGGATCGACATGTTAAATAAAAAATAAATAATTAAAAATTTAAAATGAGGCACTTAAATATTCTTGCATTATGTTTTGGAGAACAGATGAGTTATTGTAGTCAGCTTCATCTTCCGATCTTGCTGTTAAAAATCCATGAATCAGCAGTAGGGCTATTAGAGCTAAAGTCTCTCTTTAGAATGATTCATTCCCTACTTCTGAAGTAAAGCCTTTCAGTTGATATTCACACTTTCTAATCTGATTAATGGGACCACTCAATCATTATACTTGTCTTTGGGTATGTATCAAATACTGTTTTCTTTCATACTTTTTGGTGGTTCTAGTTTTCAATCTTGGGTAAGTACTTCTCATTCATAAACTGCTCTTGACTGAATATAATGTTGTTTAGACTATTGGAGATATTTCAACATTCTCCTCTTCATTTCTTTGTCCAGAAAATGCTAGCCACTTTGCTTTCCACACATTCTCAAATCAGTTCTCTCTTTCCACTATGTGAATCCTGGGTAGAGAACCTCAGTAACTATCTATCTTGCCCGTAAATGCCTTTAGTAATTGAGCCTTCTCTTTGCCCCTGCTTAACATTTTGTCCCAGTTTTACTTCCAATATATTTACTTTTCTTATATTCTTTTTATTTCATGATATGTAGGTATACATAATTTCTTTCCAGCAATAGTAGACACCATTCAAACACGTTTATATTTTTTGATATGTGTAGTATTTTAGAATAAATTAAAATTGATTATTCTTTTCTATGAGATGGGATTTAAAACTTGTAGAGGAAAAGTGCAGGGTCTATAATGGTATCTTCAGCTTTTATGTTGATGTTGATTTTGACTCCAGTTGTCTCCATTGAAATTAGGTGCCATATGTTAAGTCACAGTTCTCATTAGTTCAGCTGCAGTCTGTTGGGAAGAGTGCTGCAAGCTGACAGGAGTAATGCATTCTAAGCTTTCTTTTGTTTTCAAACTCTACTCATTGACCTTGAAATCTTAATTCACAAAAGCATGAGGTATGGAGTGAACCTTTAAAAATGTCTGAGTATAGTATCATGAAGATATATATTCATAGAAAATGCCTGTCTCTCCAAACTGAGCTCTCAATTATATTTCTCTGAGGCCTGTTTATTCTCATCACCCATTGGTGAGCTTCCTCAAAATCCTCTTGACTTCTCCATCTCTTTACCTACTATTAATATGGCTAGAAGTAAGCAATTATACCTTGTTAAGTGGTTGAAATGGAATTTAAAATGATTACTTTATAGACCCAAGTAGTATAGATCTTCATGAAATTAAATAATCAATGTAGTTTTTGATATATCATTTTCAGACTACACATGCCAATTTGAATATGAGGAAAAGAACAAATGCCTTGGTCCACTCAGAATCTGATACAAACAGCCGAACTGAGGTGGGAAACCATTCCAGCAAGACTACCACAGCCCAAGAGCCTGCTGAAGCCACAATGAAGGAGTACTTAGCTTCCAGTCCAAATCCATTCAGCAGGGCAAATGCAGCTGAGACGATATCTGCAGCAAGAAGTCTTTCATTGGCACCCTCTCCCACTCCTTGTGGCACATCAAGACCAGCTTCCATGGGGTCGACTTCTACTCGCCCTGCATTTGGGTCTAGACTTGGGCGAATTAAGACCACAGTTAATACCACAGGGGCATCTGGGACTATGTCAGCCACACCTCCTCCCTCTGCTCCACCACCGTCTGGATCTGGCACAAGTAAAATAGACAAATATGCTCGTATTCTCTTCCCAGTCACATTTGGGGCATTTAACATGGTCTACTGGGTTGTCTATTTGTCTAAGGACACCATGGAGAAATCAGAAAGTCTAATGTAATTTTGTTGCTATAGTAATTTCATAAAAGATGATAGAATTCTGACTGTCTTTTTAAATGTTTTTAAAGATAAACATTCTTTACTAAAATAAAAATTCTACTTAATTTTTCAATTTAAAAATACAAGCCAGCCGGGTGGTGGTGGCTCACACTTTTAATCCCAGCACTCAGGAGACATAGGCAAGCAATCTCTGTGAATTCAAGGTCAGCCTGGTCTACTAAACTACACAGAGAAGCCTGTCTCAAAAACAAAAACAAAACAAACAAACAAACAAACAATACAAGCCAGATAGATATCAAGAGAGTTAATTAATTCCCAAGTAGTCAGAAAGTGAACCATCTTTCCTTATAGAAAGATGATTTTAAACGAATCTATTCAGTGTTCAAACTGGATGGAATACAGGCAATTATGGAAAGTCAGAACAAGAAAAACAGGGCCAGAAGAGATATGTAATGCATATTTTTGCATTGAAATTTGAGGAAAAAAAGACTGATATTTTAAAATACACCCATGAATTCAATCAGTTATCAAAAATCTCCCATTGGCATTGCCATTAACCAGAATTGTGCACTGGAAGTCATGAGCAGTGTGAGAGCTTTGCAGTCCCTCATAGTATCTGCAAGAAAAGACTTTCTCTGTTCAACAAAAAACACCTGGAAGAGGCAAATGGAGCCAAGCAAACCCTGATTAATACAGTGAAGCCTCTGCTGCATCAATAACAGACACTGACCAGGGCAAATGTGTTTTTCTGGCACATATTGGTCAAAACAAAACAAAACAAAACAAAACAAAAAAACGTAACAGTTGACTTGAAATGTTGTGCTCTGAGCCAAAGTTAAATTCATTGTACAAATACTTTTTCATAGTATATCATCCAGTTATGTACTGTATACATTTACCACATAGTTCCTCAAAGCCTGGAGTCTACTATGCTCTAGGTGGGTTAAGACAATTTCCTAGGGAAGTTCTTTCACCTTTACAAAGTCACTTCAGTAGTAGGACTGTCAGTGCATGTTAAAGAACCAAACTTTAACCAAGGACATTGTGTTCTTTAATAAAGGCAATTTAGTTAGAGTCTGACAGCGTAGCCAAAATATTTGTTTCTCCTGCACTGATGGAGGAAAAAAAATACAGTTGTTCCATAGCCACTTTGAGATAAGTACATGTTAGCAAAATCTTGATGATCAGTTCTCAAACTATAATGAAATAATGATAGAGATTGTTCTATAGGTGAAAAAGCTTCATATATCTGAAACATAAAAATCTGGGCACTGGAAAACCTAACAGATTACCTGTGTCAAATCTGATGCAGGTCACATAACACAGTTTTCCTACTGGATCAGAATCACCCAAATCAAAGTCTGCAGGTCTACTGTATGCTTATCCCAGTAGAGAGCAATATTAGTTGCCAAAATGCTAACGTTCTTGCAAGCTTTTGTGGTCATAGCGTTTGTATGTTTGGCATGGTTTATATTTGATTCCTGAGCATTTGATAAGGTTTTATAATGTAGGTATTTTAAAAATTAACAGAGCAGTTAGAGGAAGAAAGGAATAAAAATATACCCTTGGATTGGATGTCAGCCACTGTTAGGCAATGTATCTAGATTTTCAAGTACTGGCTTTACCTTTTCATTTTGTAGGCCTAGCAGCCTAACTGAATCACTTGCAGCTTTCTAAGTAGCTCGTCCTGGTTGATCTTTTCATTGTTTCACTTCCTGATATTTTTCCCCTGTATTTCTACCTGTTCTTGGTATGTGTAACAGAATATGTTCTGGGCTTTGGGGGGGTGGCATTTGATAGACATCTTATAGACAGAATCTCTTATTTTCTGGGGGAAATTATACTGATTAATATGAATTTTTGTGTTAATTCATTGCTTTGTAATGGTTACCCATGAAACTTATAAAATTTTAAAATGTCAAATTTGAATTGACCTCCCTCTGAGAATTCCTTCCTTTTTATTTCTAAATATTTTATAGAATTTAAACACTTAAAATTTAAAAGATGTGGAAGAAATCCTCACTTATAAATTGATTCCAGCAAAATGAGGCCCAGGAACATCTGTAAATATGTTTATACATTTAATAAAGAGTAATTGTACATAAAAGCTTATACTAAAATTATTTCATGAGTATGAAAATGCTTTTAAAGGCGTTTAGGCCAGTGCTTGCAGCTGTGATGGGAAAACATCATCTTTTTTTTTTTTTTAATAACAATACAATGATCTTATTGCTTTGGAGATGAATACTTAACTCTTTTGTTTTTATTTGTTTTGCTTTTTCTCTATTGTCTTTCTTTTTAAAATCATATTTGTTCTCTATAAACTTTAGATGTTTTATTGGCCTCTTTTAAAAGATACTCTTTTTAAACTTTTGTGCTTGAAATATAATTGGCTCACCCTGGCTTGATAGTTCAAACCTCAATCCCAGTTTGGAGGAGGCTGATACAGAAAAATGCCATGAGTTTTGAGGCTACAGAGTGAGTTATAGGCCATTCTGGGATAAATTATAGCATGATCTTCAAACAAAATCAAAACCCTAGGTGAATAAAGGGTAAAATTTTTTAAAAAAATCAATAAAAGTGAATGTTCCTGCTCCAGAGGTAGGGAATAAGGCAGAGTCTTTGTATACTACCAAGGGTAGCCTTCAATTTGCTATATACATCGGGCCTATCTCAAACCCAAGTTCATCCTTTCTGTTCCCCCAAGCAATCAGATTGCATGTGTATAGCCCCAAGACCAGAAAGGACCACACTATCAAAAGGAGTCTCCATTGTTCATTTGAAGAGTAAGTTGACCAAAACACTTTACAGTGAGTGTACAAAAATCTATCTTATTTGCACATAACATTCTTAATAGTAACAATACATGCTTCGTTTCATTGAGACTTTCTTACCTTTTGCTTTGGTCATAACTTTTGTCTTCCTCATAATTCTGAGGCAAATTAGACATTCTCGTGTGAGGATCTAGTCCCTTTTCCCCAGTATTCATGAGAATGCCATGAGATCCCAAAGTACTGTATTAGGAGTAAGGTTTTTCCACCAGTGGCAGGACAAACATACAGACACATCTTCATCCAAGAATGGTAACTTTTGTATAAAAATTTTTATGTCTAAAGTTTAAATTCAGAAGTATTTTATATTTTACTGGTAAATATGTTAATTTCAGTTTTCCACTACCAAGTTGGCTGGTTATAGCTGTGTAGTCACTTCTAATTTCTTCCAGGCATGACTAGTTACAAAATATATTTACATGACTAACCCATGGTGAAAAAAAAATAAAAGGTTTATCATTATGCATGGACCTAGTACTTTCTGTAGCAAACACTTTAAACTGAGCCTCACACATCTTAAAGGACAGAGGAACATCTTCTCTTTCATATTAGAGATGAATCACAGATCAGTTAATGATGAAGATAAATGCAGTAGAATGAACGACTAAAAGGTCATTTTTCAATCACTCACCTTACCAGGGACCTTATTTCAAGTAATACATAAAAAATGTGTATTTTCTCTATAAACCAGACAATTGTTTCTGGTCCAGGAGAGGGAATAAAAAGGTCTCTATTCACCAGTTCCCTAATTCAACTGGTATGCTCATATGTATGTGTGTATATATATATATATATACATATATATATATATATATATATATATATATCCTTATTTTGCTATCGATCCCAGTTCCATCTCCCTCCCTCTCTCTCCCTCCCATGTCCCCTGATCCCCTCCCATCCAATTCACCTCCCCCCACTGCACAGGGATGGTAATGCCTTCCAGAAGGGATCATCAAAATCTGTTAAGTCATTTAGAATAAGGTATAGGCCCTCTCCCCTGCTCCATGGTATGCTCTTCTTAAACTGACAATAATTTGGAGTTGGAAAGAATGACAAAAGAGGGTGCATTTGGTTTTATGGTCTGACCACACTGTTGTCTAAAATGAGTTCTATAACTACTTTGGTACTAAAAACAGAGAGATAACTATCATTATCACTGTGGTTTGTTTAAATTTCAATATCATTCTAAATATAAGCATATACTTACAATATGTACATGCTATAGTTTGAGCCACAAATATTATTATTATTATTATTATTATTATTATTATTATTGAGTTATAGATATATTAATACCTTGAGCTGTGGTTTATTTCCAAGTAAGATGTGCTTATCATTAAACGAAGACAAAACAAAAATCCCTTTCTTATGTATTAGGTATTGCTCCCCCTGAAAAAGTATACCATTTAAAGATGAAAGAATATTGATATCTTTTCTTGTCTCTGATTTCTATATCATCACTCAATGCGCTCCTACTCACTGGCCATTCCTCGAAGGTGGTCACTGTATTCCACTGATGGGACAGGTAGATTAGGAACTATTGATTGTAATAAATATGTTGGTTATGGAACAGGAATAAGATCAGGACTCTGAAAGCCGCAATCATCAAGGTAAGTATTAGAAATCAGTATCTTAAAAGTAAAAATCAATGCAGAAATTGCTGGTGAACCAAATACACAAAGTGTAAGTAAATGGACTTGTGTTGGTAATGTTTCTTCTTGTCACAAGCTCCAGTTTTTCTAGCCATTGTGTTAATGTTGATGGTAGGTAAAGGACTCTTGTAACTGTGACTTTGGCAATGAAGGTTTTGACAGGGTCAAGCATCACAGAGTGGTCATAAACTGAAATTCATGATCTGAAGTTCTTCTAGCCCAACCCACCCAATTCCCACAATTGAAAGTACATTTGTGGTTTATCATTATCTGGAACATGAAGGATTTAATATGTCAAGCAAAGCTCTTACTGTATATAGGAAAAATTAGAACCAGGGAAGTATAAATTGTGGATGGCTGCAAAAAGTAGTAGAGATAGATAAGGGACAATTTGTAGTAATGGTTGAAAAGATTGAATTTTACTCAGATTATTGGTGTTGGGTTTAAAAATCTTACAGGTTAATAAGGAAAGACTAAAATATATTTGCTTCTATTTGAGGGAAACACACCAACTGCTGTTGGAATTATGGTTCGGAGAAGAACCCAGAAGCGTTG